GAGAGAGAGAGAGAGAGAGAGAGAGAGAGACATTGATTGGTTGCCTCTGGGGTCAAGGATTGAGCCTGCAACCTAGGTACGTGCCCTTGACCAGAATGGAATCTGGGACCCTTCAGTCAACAGGCTGATGTTCTATCCACTGAGCCAAACCGGCCAAGGCAATAACCCCACTTTATAGATGAGAATAGTGAGACTCAACAGTGACCTGTTGCGGAGGGGGGGCGTGGAGGGGGTAGGGGAGCTGGGGTGCACTCCGAGCCTTCAGGGCCACCACGTACAGCCGTGCAGGTGGCACGCTCAAGGATATCACTAGCAGGCGAGCCCATTCACCACGGGGACATATGTTTGTGCGGCTTGAGAAAGGAGTGCCTTTTCCGAACTCGCACAGGCAGCCTGTAGATTGATAGGTGGCCCTGTGTGCAAGACGGGGGTTCATGCCCAGGCACCGTGATGACCAAGGAAGGTGCGACAAGGGGAATCTTGGGGGTGGGGGTGGCCAGGGGAAGGGCCGAGTCCCTGCTAAGCCCACCTGCCCGCCCCCTAGGCCCGAGGAGGAAAGGGGCAACCCCAGGAAGGGGACCCGCCCCCATTGACCATCCCTCTACTCCAGTGGTTCTCAGCCTTCTGGCCCTTTAAATACAGTTCCTCATATAGTGACCCAACCATAACATTATTTCCGTTGCTACTTCACAACTGTAATGTTGCTACTGTGACGAATCGTCATGTAAATATCTGATATGCAGGATGGTCTTAGGCGACCCCTGTGAAAGGGTCGTTCGACCGCCAAAGGGGTCTCGACCCACAGGTTGAGAACCGCTGCTCTCCTCCGTCTCTCTCTCTCTCTCTCCTAGATATTTACGGGGAACGTGGACAACAGTGGCCTGAAGGTCAATATGTTTGACGTCCCTCAAGAGTTGCAGTACGTGAGGCTGATGCCCGTCGGCTGCCACCGGGGCTGCACCCTGCGCTTTGAGCTCCTTGGCTGCGAGTTGAATGGTGAGTGCTGGTGGCTGGGGTCCGTCCCAGGGGCTCTGGCCTCTCTTCTCAGCCAAGCTGAGCCGGGCAGGGCGGCAGCAAGGCCCAGGGCCCCGGGCTCACTCAGCAGAGGCACACGAGAGGGGTCACCCGGCCGTCAGCAGCTCTGCCCGGGTATGATCCTCTCTGTGCCAACCCATGGCATTCTGATGGGGAGAGGACAAAAGAGACGCTACTTCTGTTCTCAAAGTGTTGTCACTTATTCTGATGGGCTCCTTGAGCTTCTAGACTCGTAGCATCCGTTGTGTGCTGCAGATGTCAGCTCCCGCCTGTGGGGAGTTTGTCTGATTTGTCCACTGCTCGATTCCCAGTGCCTAGAACGGTGCCTGGATAAATACTTGATGAAGGAGTGAATGAATGAGGAAAGTGAGGCCCAGATAAATTGTTAGTATTTTTAAAAAAATATGTTCTTATTTCTTTCAGAGAGGAAAGAGAGGGAGTTAGAAACATCAATGATGAGAGAATCATTGATTGGCTGCCTCCTGCACACCCCATACTGGGCATCGAGCCGCAACCTGGGCATGTGCCCTTGACTGGAATTGAACCTGGGACGCTCTATCTATCCACTGAGCCAAACCAGCTAGGGCCCCAGATAAATTATTTATCAAGGGCACACAGCTGGCAGGCATTAAAACTTGGTCTATGTCCTGGCCAGCTTGGCTCAGTGGATAGAACCTCAGCCTGCAGACTGAGGGGTCCCAGGTTCGATTCCAGCCAAGGGCACATGCCTGGGTTGCGGGCTCGATCCCCAGTAGGGGGCGTGCAGGAGGGAGCCGATCAATGATTCTCTCTCATCATTGATGTTTCTATCTATCTCTCCTCCCTTTCTCTCTGAAACCAATAAAGAAATACATTTAAAAAAATTAAAAAAAAATTAAAAAAACAAGCAAGCAAACAAACAAACAAAAAACTTGGTCTAGATCCCTGGGCTTCTGACACCTACCCCTCCAGGACTTTTACTCTCCACACCACCCCCCCTTCCTCCCGCCCCACAAAAAACTCCGGTTTGTCTGAATTTAAGAGAAACACGAGGCTTCTAGGGTAGCTGATGCTTCCTGCTGCCATTTCCAGGGAAAGTCCCAGACAGAGGAATGGGGACAAGAAAGGGAGGGGTTTCCTCTGAGCCAGGAAAAAACGCGCCATTGGGGGAGGTCAGGGTGCAGGGGGTTGGGCGGCCCAGCTTCCTTGTCTCAGCTCAGCTGTTTTCTGAGATCCAGGTAGCCGGTCCCGCTTTTTTGCAGCCACAGTGCCACCTGCTGGCCACTGGCGGAACTGTAGGGCTTGTAAGGCCGATTGCCTTTCTCGTGTTACCCCAAGACCCACCCTTTGCGCCCCCTTTCCCCTCCGTGGCACTTCTTCCTGTTCCCCCATTTCAGATACCACCCAATACCATTCAGAGCTGACTTCTATGTGCCTGGCTGGGTTTAGTTTTTGTTTTTGTTTTTTTTAATATATTTTATTGATTTTTTACAGAGAGGAAGGGAGAGGGATAGAGAGTTAGAAACATCGACCAGCTGCCTCCTGCACACCCCCCACTGGGGATGTGCCCGCAACCAAGGTACATGCCCTTGACCGGAATCGAACCCGGGACCCTTGAGTCCGCAGGGCGACGCTCTATCCACTGAGCCAAACAGGCCAGGGCTAGTTTTTTTTTTGTTTTTTGTTTTTGTTTTTTTTAAGTGTGAACTTAAGTCTGTGTTCCCAGGGCCACTACCTTTTGAGCCTAATTGTGTAAGTGGGGAGTTAAAAAATTGCCTTCTGGGTGAAAAAGGTGAAGGGATTAAGTTAAAAAGAAAACTAAACGAAACACTCCTAGACACAGACAACAGTATGGTGATTACCGGAGTGAGAGGCGGGTGGGCAGAGGTAGAGGAGGGTGAAGGGGGGATAGATGGTGATGGGAGGAGACGTGGCTGTGGTTGGTGAACACACAATACGATATGCAGATGCTGTATTGCAGGATCATACACTTGCAACCTAATTTTATTAACCAGCGTCACCCCAACAAATTCAATACAAATTAAAAGAGAAAAAGACGTTGCCTTCTGCCCAAAGGAAAATTTGGCCGTTGGCAAAGGGAAGAGGCAGTTTCTGGGGGTCCCAACTCTGGGTCCTGTCCTTGGAGTCCCTTCCTACTCGCTGTCCTAGTCTGAAGCCTCAGGCCAGCGGCTCCCCACGTGGGGCACACGCCCACAGGGGGGCAATCTGATTTTTAAGGGGGGGGGCAATTCCATAATGAGGTTTGTTTTAAATATATTTTTATTGATTTCAGAGATGAAGGGAGAGGGATCGAGAGATAGAAACATCAATGATGAGAAAGAGTCATTGATTGGCTGCCTCCTGCACGCCCCCCATGGGGGATCAAGCCTACAACCCAGGCATGTGCCCTTGGCCAGAATCGAACCTGGGACTCTTCAGTCCGCAGGCCGATGCTCTATCCACTGAGCAAAACCAGCCAGGGCCGAGAATGAGTTATTAACAGTGAATGTTTTGCATTTCTTCTGGTTCTAAGGGCCTCATAGACAGTCTATAAATAGATATGGTGGCATATTTATACATTTCAGTTCTCTATTCTATGTTTTGAAACTGTGCTATTTTTTCCTATCACTTCCTATTATTATTTTTTTAAAACAATTTCTTAGTGATTTCTTCCTCAGTCCTTCCACGGTCCTTTCGTCCTTTTATTTTTCTCTCTCATGGATGCCATGTTCTTTGGAAGCTTGTTTAGACCAAGTTCATGGCCTTTGAGGCTTCCTCTGCGTGAATAGGAGCTCACTTTTTAATAATAAGAATTATAGGGGGGGAAAAAAGAATTATAGGTCCCAGGGGGCATCAGGATGTTAGAGATGCTGAGGTGGGGGGTGGCCAAAGAGAGGTTGGGGACCACTGCCTTAGCGGTTACAGTTGCCTGCGTGGTCCTGTCCCAGCCGGCTCCCTCCGAGGCCGAGACAGGCTGAGCCTGGCGAGCCGAACAAGCGAGGATGCCCTGTCTCCTTCCCTGAGGGCTGGGCCATCTCCTTGCCCTGCTAACCAAGGGAGTCCAGCTGTGGACTGGGGATTCCGCCAGATGTGAGACACACCCATCCCTTCCCTGGGAGTCTTCAGCTATTCTGAAGGCCACCTGAAGGTGCACGTGACTAGTACCAAACAGCCCGGCACATGCCTGAGTGTTTGGGGCAGGCCCGAATGAAACCGAGGCCTGTCTGACAGTATGCCAGCTGTTGGGTGTGGAATCTTCTAGACCAGTGATGGCGAACCTTTTGAGCTCGGCGTGTCAGCATTTTGAAAAACCCTAACTTAACTCTGGTGCCGTGTCACATATAGAAATTTTTTGATATCTTTGCAACCATAGTAAAACAAAGACTTCTATTTTTGATATTTATTTTATATATTTAAATGCCATTTAACAAAGAAAAATCAACCAAAAAAATGAGTTCGCGTGTCACCTCTGACACGCGTGTCATAGGTTCGCCATCACTGTTCTAGACGCTGACAGAGGGTCCGCTGGGCAAGGATCAAGGTTGGTCCCTGAGCCCCAGGAGTTCTGATTCTCTGACTTCCACCGGCTGGAAGTCCTGTTCACGGCTCTGGGTGGGTGTGTGGATGGTGGAGACGACGTCACAGCGTGGCGTGGCAATCAGGTGTTTGAGTGTGTGGCTTGGTACAGTGTTTGTCTCTAGGCCTCAGTTTTCCCGCCTGTCAAATGGGGTGGCTAATATCTTCAGGTTTCTGTGCGGTAGATGAATTGTCCGAAGTGAGCACTGAATCAATGAGATGGTTGTTACTCGTGTCCTGGATGACCAGCCCAGGACTCAGCAGTACTGTAGGAGTGATATAGGAAGTGCTGAGAGTCCAGAGGAGGGACAAGTCCTGCCCCATGAGGTGGTCAGGGCAGGCTTCTTGGAGGAGGTGTCTCACAGGCAGGCCTTGAAGGAGGGTGGGAAGTGGCGGATCGATCAGGGCCTGCCCTGGTGCAGAGAAGGAAGAGTAGCAGGTGATCGGTGAAGGGCAAGTCGGGTAGGGGTGGGAGCTGAGGGCAGGTGGCTGAGGGAGGAGTGGGTGGGGTAGGCAGTGAGAACGAAGGATGGTTCATTTAATTTTTAAAAATATTTTTATTGATTTCAGAGAGGAGGGAGAGGGGAGATAAAAACATCAATGATGAGAGAGAATGATCGATCGGCTGCCTCCCGCACGCTCTATGCTGGGGACCGAGCCCGCACCCCAGCCAGGCTCCCCGATTGGGAATTGAACCGTGACCTCGCAGTTCACAGGTCGATGCTCAACCACTGAGCCACACGGGCTGGGGAGGACGGTTGATTCTAAAAGGCAGAAGGAGCTTCTGTCCGAGAGGAGGCCAGGGGCTGGTGGGGTCCACGCACTTCTCCCCACCTCATTGCCTGGTGCTCACACCCCTGGGAGCCTGGGGACCCTAGATCTACCAGCCCCCCCTTGTTAGCAGGATGTGATGAACCCCTGGGCATGAAGGACAGAACCATCCCTGACAAGCAGATCACGGCCTCCAGCACCTACAGGACCTGGGGCCTGAGTTCCTTCAGCTGGTATCCCTACTACGCGCGGCTGGACCAGCAGGGCAAGTTCAACGCCTGGACCGCGGAGAAAAACTCTGCCTCCGAGTGGCTGCAGGTGGGCCCAGTTCCGGGGGTGATGGAGGAGGGAGAGCATGAAGATGGACATGTTTTGTGGAGTGCTGCGATCACTTCCGAATTTCTGAGTATTTTCCCTTCGTCTGACATTCATTGAGCCTCTCTTCTGCACATAGTAGGAGCTTCGTGTTTGCTGAATGAATAAACATTGAAAGAAAACAAATTTTGAAAGGTCCAAACCAATAAGTGAACGCTAATACACAGTCATTAAGGGGCTGTGCCGCCTCACTGCTTCTGTGCTCCGACAGCAGCTCTGATCACAGCCCTCAGAGCCAGCAGAGGCCCCTTCCGCCCTGGAGCCCGTGCGGGATGCGGGGAGCTGGGCTTCCGGCCTCGGGAATCACTCGCCCTGACATCACTGCCCTCCTGTCCCCCGCCCGGAAGTGGAATCAGAAATGCATCAGGCACCTCCAAGGTACCAGTTGTGTCTGAGGTAGTGCAGTGACCAAGCAAAAAGGCAGAAGCACTTAGAAAGAACTTGAGGCAAAAAGAACGTGGAAGGTCACCACGGGGTCGCCTGGGACAGATGGGGAAACGGGGTTGAAAGAAAGCCGAGGCCAGCACCTCATTCCTCTGCCGGCCAGTCCAAGGTCCCTCAGTCATGAGTGCCGGAGCCAGCCTGGGACCCAGGATCAGTCGTTGCATCACCTCCGTGATAGCTCACTGCCGGCGGGTGGAGGGGAGTGGGAGACTCCGAATCCGGTGCCAGCAGCCTTTCTGAGACTCTGTGTTGGTCAGTGGTTTCTATTTTCTACAAAAATTAAAACTATAGGGTGCCCCCCCCCCAAAAAAAATGTATACACACACTTTGAATAATTACAAAGGCAGTGTTTATTAAAATCCATCTTATTTTCAAAATTGAGCTGTTAGCGTGTATATACATTTTGGGGGGGACACCCTGTATGTTTAGACTTGTCAGCAAGATTGTTTTATTTAAAGCCATAGGACAGTTTGGGCATTTCCACATAAATTTATGCAATGAAGTTTCACAAATAGTCTGAATGTCGGAGGGCTGCAATTTTCTATGATCAATCACGCTCCGTGTGTGTGTGTGTGTGTGTGTGTGTGTGTGTGTGTGTGTGTGTGTGTATCTCTGTGTGTGTCTATGTATATCTGTGTGTGTGTATCTGTGTGTGTGTATCTGTGTGTGTGTGTGTGTGTGTGTGTCTGTGTATATCTGTGTGTCTGTATAAGTGTGTGCATGTGTACATGTCTGTGTATACCTGTGTGTCTTTCTATCTGTAGGTGTGTCTGTGTCTACCTGTGTATGTGGAGGGGGTGTGTGTGTGTCTCTGTGTATATGTGCATATCTGTATATCTGACTGTGTGTGTCTGTCTGTGTGTCTGCCTATTTGTATGTGTCTGTGTATGTGTGTGGGGGTGAGGGTCGGGGTGGGGGTGTGTCGATAGGGGGAGAGCCACCTCCACTGGCTGCCCCAGGGAAACCAGGCTGAGCCCATGGACGGCAGGGCAGGGTGGAGGAGGCGCCCCCAGACAGGCACCTTGGGGCTTCCCTGCCTGAGCACAGAGCACTGCTCTCTGACACGCTGTCTGAGAACACACCACAGGGCAGCCCTCGGATTTCAGTGAAATTGGGAAACACGAGAATCGCGAACACCAGAGCATCCGCTCACGTCACAGATGTGGAAGCGGGGTCCTGGCAGGGTCAGGAATTGCCTGGGGCTCCCCTGCTGGCTGGCAGTGAGTTGAGTTTGCACCCTGGGGCCTGGGGCTGCCTGTGCGGGGGCAGGTGGCCGGCTCCCCGGGATGGTCAGGGCCGGGATCAGGCCTGTCTCTGGGCCCCAAGGAGCACATTAGCCCGCGGAGCCGGGTTCTGTGAGGCGCTGCCTGCCTTTGGGCTCCTCAGAACCAAGGTCCGGCTGTGGTCAGCTCCGCCAGGGTCCCCGGGAGCACTTCATGCCGGGGGATTGGCCAGGGCCCCGACTCTGAAATGTGAGCTCCGTTGCAGTGAATTGCCTCATTGTGTCTGACAGAGTTGGTGGTAGTTACTTTTTATTTTTATATTTTTATTGATTTCAGAGAGGAATGGAGAGAGAGAGAGAGATAGAAACCTCAATGATGAGAGGGAATCATGGATCGGCTGCCTTCTGCACGTCCCACACTGGGGATCGAGCCCGCAACCTGGGCACGTGCCCTGACTGGGAATCGAACCGTGACCTCCCGGTTCATAGGTCGATGCCCAACCACTGAGCCACACCGGCCGGGCATATTTATGCCCATTTTACAGATGAGGAACTGAGGCTCTGAGGCCAACATCCTCCCTGACAAGCAGCTTTCCCCAAACTGCGCTTCCTGTCTCAGCCTGACTGTCTTTTTCCACTTTACTGGAAAGGATGCAAGCGAAGAAAATGTGCTTTATTTTATTTTATTTTGTTTTTTTGTGTTTTTTCCCCCCTGTAGATCGACTTGGGCTCTCAGAAACAGGTGACCGGCATCATCACGCAGGGGGCCCGAGACTTCGGCAACATCCAGTACGTGGCGGCCTACAAGGTGGCCCACAGTACTGATGGCCTGAGATGGACCGAGTATAAGGACCCGGGGGCCGAGGGCAGCAAGGTGAGCATCAGCCGCCCGCCCCTCGCCACTCCGAGGTGCCCTGCGAGTTGGGCCTCTGGGGCTCTGAGGGGACGGGGACCAGCCCTGGGGGGCCTCTGAGGGGAGGGGGGCCAGCCCGGGGGCCTTCCTGACACCTTCTCTGTCTCTAGATCTTCCCAGGCAACTTTGACAATAATTCCCACAAGAGGAACATGTTCGAGACGCCCTTTATGGCTCGTTTTGTGCGCGTCCTGCCCGTGGCCTGGCACAACCGCATCACCCTCCGCGTGGAGCTGCTGGGATGCTCGTAGGTCCAGCTGACCGGACCGGATGGCCTGGTTCTCCTGACCTTCTGTGGTCCTGCTGCCTCCTCCACCCACCGCCCGCCTGATTGTAGTGCCGTGGGGGGCGGGGAGGGGGGTGAAGATGTCAGTCACCTCTCCCTCCCTCTGTCCTCCTCACACCTCACCTCCCACACGCCCGCCCCACCTCCGACCTGCCCCTGGCGCCCAGCCCTCATGCCAGGTGAGCCCCAGGCAATTCCTGGCCCTGCCAGGACTCCCTTTTCTACACTTGATCTTGCCAAAAGGCCGAGAGCCAACCCATCCCGTGTTCTTAGGCGCTGTGGGAGTTGAGTAGGTCTGGGATTCCAGCCTCTGTCGCCCATAGCCCGCCTCCCACCCCCCACATTCCCATGGCCCTGGAGGAAGGGCCCCGAGGCTCCAGGCTGGAGCTAACGGACTCCTGCCGCTCAGCCTGGAGGCATGATGCTGCCATTCCCGATGCCGCCACCCAGCCCTCTGACACTCCCACAACCTCCCTGGAGACCCCTCTTGACCCTTGAGCTGCAGCCTAGAAAGACAGCAGGGGGTGGGGTGGGTCCGTGGACAGACAGGGAGGAGGTGGGCGGGCCTGGGCGGCCCCCCAATGCACAGGCAACTTCCAAAATATATTTATGTCACTGCCTGGAGCTCTTACTGTGTGGTTCTTCGTCCTCGGGCTGGTCCCCACCCTCAGCCTCAGTTTCCCCAGAGCCTCAGCGTGCTCCCCACCTGCCCGGCTCCACGCTGCTCCCCACCCGGAGGAAGGAGGAGGCTGCCGGGGGCCCACAGGGGGCCAGGATGCTGCCAAGTGGGCGCAGGGCCTCCTGGCTGAGGGCACTGGTTTCTGGGAGGCGCTGGCGCATCGGCTCCCTGGGCAGGGGCCATCAGGAAGTGGCCAGTGGGGGCAGCGCAGGCCAGCGCCTGGTGATCTGGGAAAGGGGCCGGCCACAGAGGAGGGAGGGACCGGGCTGGCTGGAAACGGGGGCGGATGAAACCACCCTAGTGTTGGAGGCCTCGGGGCACAGGAGGAATTTTCCAGCACAAAATCGGGGAGCCAGGCTGCGGTCCACAGAGGAGGCGCCTCGCCCCTGGGCGGCAGGTCTGGCCACGCGGCTGCCAGAGCGAGGGTGTGGCTGTGCTGGGGCCTCACCAGGGAAATTCGTCTGGAAGTGGCTCCTTCTTGGAACTGGCCTCGCCGGGGCTCGTTGGCTGGGCAGGGACAGAATAAAGGGCTCAGGTCGAGGGCTCCAGATGAACGGGGGTTGTGGGGCTCCCCTCTGCTGGGGGTCCCCTGGCCCACCCACTCCTTCCTATGTCACTCTCGGTTTGGGTTTGGAGCCATTGATTTCAGAGAAGAGGGAGGGGGAGAGAGACAATCATCAATGATGAGAGAGAATCATGCATGCTCCCCACTGGGAATCGAGTCCGAAACCCGGGCATGTGCCCTGACCAGTAATCAAACCCTGACCTCCTGGTTCATGGGCCGACGCTCAACTTCAGAGCCACCCCAGCCGGCCTGGAGCCAGACTTTCGGAATGGTTGCTGGCCACAGGCCTCCCTCCAGGGAGCATTTCCTGCCCCCAGCTCCCACCTGCTGGTCAGCCCTGCCCCTCCTGGAGGCGTTAAACTCCGTTTGCTGTCACCAAGCTGGCCTTCCCGGCGGTCCATCCCTCTCCCCACACCTGTGGCTGTCAGCACCCGGGCCTGTGGGCCTGCCTCTCTCAGGAGCCTGGCCTCCTTTATGGTCCTTGTTTATGTTTATGTTATTTATTTTTTTGTTAATCCTCACCTGAGGATATTTTTCCATTGACATTTTAGAGAGAGTGGAAGGGAGAGGGAGAGACAGAGAGAAACATCCATGTGAGAGAGACACATCGAGTGGTTGCCTCCTGCACCTGCCCCGACCGGGGGCCAGAGCCCACAACTGGAATCGAACCCGGGACCCTTCAGTTCACAGGCCGATGCTCTATCCACTGAGCCAAACCGGCTAGGGCTGGTCCTTGTTTAAACATAATGAAGTGATGAGGAGCCTCGGGTCTGAGGTTGGACAGCCTGGCCCCGAGGAATGTTCAATAATGAAATCTCTGGGCCTTAGCAGTAACAGGGCCGACTCCATGGCCTCCTGGGGACTAGGGGAGGGAGGGCACCCATGCAAAGCGGGCCCATGGGAGGCCTCAGACCCTGGGCATCCTTGTCAGAGAAGCTTGCAAGTGTCCTGATTGGTACCCGTGTTCTATGTATCTCCCCTCCAACCCATCCTGCATACTTGGTCAGCCATCTCTTCCTCACAGAGGAACCGTCAATGGCTCCCTTTTGCACATCAGGCCTGGCCCTCCCTCCGGTGCAGGCCTCCCCGGTCACTGCCGCTCTGCTAGGCTGTGCTCCCAGCCCTCGTGTGTAACACACATAGGCAGGCATGCACGCGTGTGCACCCAAGCCGTCTTGGCCTGTTTAGGAAGAGGCTCTGGGCTCGGAGACCCCGTGGCCCACCCCCTGCAGTGGTTCTCAACCTTCCTAATGCCGCGACCCTTTCATACAGTTCCTCCTGTTGTGGTGACCCCCAATGTCATTGTTACCAATTGAACATAATGAAAGCATCGTGATTCATCACAAAAACAATATGTCATTATCTATGTGTTTTCCGATGGTCTTAGGCGACCCCTGTGAAAGGGTCGTTCGACCCACAGGTTGAGAACCGCTGGGGGTCTAAAGGCTTTTCGGCTGAGCAAACTGTCAGCCCACGCCCCCTGCTGGTCGGGACAGGAAGGAAAACACCCTCCCGAAGGTGGGGGCGGCCATAGCCCACGTGCAGAGGGCTGGGGAGGGGTGCCCCCCCTCCTCGCTTAGTCGCACTGTTTGGGATAAGCCAGAGCGTCCTAATGGGACGCCCCTCTACAAATGCTCCTCCACCCCCGACTCACCTTCCCCAAGGCCTCCGCTCAGGGCACCCCCTTCACAGCCCGGCCAGCAGTCCGCCCCCCCCACGTGTGGGGAGGTCCCCAGCGGCGTCTGGAGCGCAGGCCACCTCCTCTCGGATGGAAAGGGGCGTGTATTCCTTTAAGGGGCAGGCCCGGCGGGAGCGCGGGGGTTTGTCCGCAGCCGCTTCCTTTCTGGCCACTCCAGGTCCCCCGATCCGCCTGTGTCCTCGGA